GTACCTACTAGGCACAAAGTATGTAGATAAAAGATCAAGGCTTGATCCTCAGACTTAAGAATCTATCTGCATGTGAAAAAATGACACACTGTGTTAAGTCCCTCGAAAGAGGCAAGGCCAGGATGCAGGCAAAAGCATACAGCGTGGTCCTAGAGAAAAGGATGACTGACCAGTCCTGAGATAAGTAGGCGAGGGCAGATGAAGACGAGAAGGAACAATGGGCAGGCATGAAAAAAGACCAAAAACTTCAGAGAACCAGTAGATCACAATAGGCAGAGACTGCAGGTGCTCTGGAGGAAGAGAGGAGAGAGGAGACGGAAGAATAAAGAGGTGTCCAGAGGTGGCTGCAAGGACCGTATGAGGAAGGATCTCCTCTTCCCCCCTTTTCTTACCTCCTTTCCTCCCTTGGATTGAATTCAGGGGCCTCTGCACTGAGCTATATCCCCAGCCCTTTTTTATTTTTAAACAGGATCTTGCTAAGTCACTGAGTGCCCAAACTGGGCTTGAACTGGTAATCCTCCTGCCTCAGCCTCCCAAAGTGCTGTTTTACAGATGTGTATCACTGTGCCTGGCTAGGAAGGATCTCAACGTTCCAAGCTAGGAAGCCTAGGCTGTAGCCCAAAGGTAATGGAGACCATTGGCCAGAGGACTGTAAAGGACTGGCTGGCTTCTGATCAGAGGGTTGCTCTGGCAACAGTGATGGAGATGAGCTGCAAAGCAAAGATACTGAGCACTAGGAAAGAGGCCACTGAGAACTCCAGGAGATAAACAACCAGGACACTGACGCATACACATAGTGAGGAGGGACAGATGCGTGAGTCATGTAGGAGACAGACTGAAGAGGACATGGCGATTAACCACAAAGGAAAAAGAGGGAGAGGAGGAAGGAAAGGGTAGCTTTAGGGCACTGATTTGAGCAACGGCTGTACAATAACCATGTTCCCAAGGACAGGGAAGACAAGAAGAGGTACAGACTTGGGGGAAGATGACAGAGTATCTAGGAAGAAATTTTCAAACTCAGGACCTTGTGCTTGCCAGGCAGGCATGGCACCACTGAGCTACATCCCCAGCCTGAAATAAATTTTCAAATAGGACACGCATCTAGGTTATTTGGGGAAACCACAGAGGACAGTTTGAATAAATCCTACTTCCTGTTTCTGAAAGCAGCTGACCTATACGTGATGTCCTTGTCGTACTCATTGTTGTTACCACTCTTTTCGTTGGACCAAGTTCGCTTGTGGATATGGGCAGCCATCACAGCAGGCAGAGAGAGAGGGTGAGACCAACAGACCAGAAGGGCTTCAAGAACGGGGACCAGTGATTTGCATACACATTTCCCCATGCACAGCTAATAGGGAGCAGCATGTGGGGGTGAGGGGAGAACCCATGATGTGAATCCTCCTGTTTGGAGAGAACACCCTGTTTAGACCCTTTTGGGGAATCAGGCTCAGCAAGGTTGAAGGAAAAAACAAGATCGGTTTTCTAAAATAGTTCCACGTGGCCAATGAGCTATGGAGGAGGCAGCCAGGGGTGAAGCAGCACAGAGGCAAGCTTCTACTCAGAAGCTTACGAGTGGGCTTTGGAAGACAGGTGAAGAGACTTAGGAGCTGCCACAGGGAGGCTGGGAAAGGATGGCATTTGTGCGATTCAAGCTGCTCAGGTCTTCCAAAGCACAATCCAGAAACAGCAGCACTGACTGGGAATCAGGGAAGCCATCCACGGGAAGAAGAGAACACGAGCTGGCCCCATGAATCGTGCAGAGATCTTCTGGATAACAGTCAGGTGAAGAAAACTGGCATCCTGAAGTCTGAGATGTCAAGTCAGAATGTGAAAGAAGGGACAGGGTGAAGGGGGGAAGCAAGAGAATGTCCACAACAAGTTGGGCAGCTTATCCTATCTGTCTATAGAGTGACAGAGAAGCTGGGTTCCAAATGTCTGGAATACTTGGATTTGCCACCTGCAAGCCCTTAAGAGGACACTGACACGATCAGAAAGGGTCAACGGACATTATTTGGCTACTCTTCTCTCCCGACTGAAATGCCTTCTCTTACTATTAAGTGCTGCAAGATCAAACAACTATAGCTCCAGGAATAATTCATGCTGTTTCATGACCAAGTAATACTGTTTTTCTTCTCAGAAATATGCTTCTACTGCTTTGCCTACTTGGATCACTCTTATCCTACAAAACTAAGCAAGGACGTCCATCTCCTACTCCAATCCTCACAACATCATGGTATCACAGCATATAATACACTGTTTGCAACTGATCAAACATGGAGGTCGCTCAACTGCATGCTTGGAACATAGTGTGCTTGGCACATGTCTGATAGGTGAGTAATAGGATCTAGCCTAATGTGGGGCTGGTTCTCAGACCCTGGAGTCTAGCCCAGGTACTGATTCAGTAATGCATTTCTCTGACTGTTTTGTTTCTGGAGTCTTAGCAGTACTGCTTCACTTAGGGGAGCTTTAACAGCAGAGATTTGTAATAGTTTGGTCCAGGCACCAGCACTGAGGTGACCTCCCAGGCTCCCTGGATTCCTACAGCCCACCAGCCACACCAAAGCTCAGCTCTGCAAAAGGAGGGTGATAAAAAGTGAGAGATGTCTCTGATAATGCTACCCACACATCTTCTTCCACCCATCCCGGGAACTGGCCTTCAGAGGACGACCTGAGAAAGGAGAGGTGACTGCTGCTGGAGGATATGGAGTCAGCTGGGAGGAGAGACATACAGAAGGACGAGAGTATGGAAGGATTCATGAACCATGTGTTGGATGGACATTTTTCAGGAAGGACAATCCATACCACTCACTCATCCGATTTGCAAAGCGCCCCAGGACTGTGAGACCCCATTCCAGAACTGTGCATTACTTGACATAGCTCTGCTCTCAGACCAGCTGCGGACTCTTGATCGCTGGGGATTTGATTATGATCTCGGCAGATCAGGGACAGGAGTGAGGGTCCACACAGCGCAGCAATTATACGTTCACTTATCAGGGGGAAAAAAGTCTTTCTGAAGCTAAAATTCTTTCATAATTTCAAGATGTTTTATGATCTGTGCATTACACAATATCAAATGCAATGAGTGAGAGAGAGTTTGCCTTGGGACATCTCTAAACTGTTCCTTAGAGAAACAAATTTGACAAAAAATCAAAAGTAAAACAGGGTCTCATTCCTGAGAAGTCTTATTTAACCTTATTCTCTCAGTATTGGGCTCAGGAAGCACTAATAAAGAGGCAGATCCTGTACAATGGCTCTTACATCTGACCCTCCTCCCTTTTCTGTATAGACACATATGGTATTCACGGGGGTGGGGGATGAGAATGAATCTGAAGGCAGAGAAGCCTGGACTGATGTCTGGGGAATTAGAGTCATTTTTTACCCATATCCTGCATTGGGTAGAAAAAACACAGGAAAAAGGTTCTACTGAAACACGCGTGTTTTGCTTTCTTTTTTTAAAAAGAAAATCATAAATCACCCAGATATGTGAATAACTCTGCTGGGTAGTTTTTTGATTGCATAGTTCCCACAGTTTCTCCCTGACTTTTGAAAAGTTAATTAAAAAACAAATCTTTGGAGTGAATCCTTAAATCTCAGTTGTGCAGAGCACATGATTTGTGCCCAAACATAGGCTGTCACTGGCCTGCTAAGTAAGGCTGGACAAGTTTCTTAACCTCTTTTAAGAACCTAATTCTTTGGCAATTAAAATAGGAGTGTGAATAGCACTGAACACAAAAGGGTGGCTGGAGAATCAAATGAAATGATGCAGTAGAAATACTTGCCTAGAATATTGTGAGCATTCAATAAAAGGTAGCTAAAGAATGAGGGCTGTGGAAAATTACTCTACCAATGGAGAAAATTTCTAGGACACATCTTTGTTTATTATCATATGTGCTATCATGGGATAAAGGAAAAACCCAGAAACTATAGGACTGTGGTTCTCAGTGAGGATTTTCTTCTTTGTACACTGGACAGGGTAGGTAGACAGCTTCTTCACCTTCATGTTAGCTTGGATCAGGCAGAGAAGCATCCCTGCCCCCAAATGACCTGGATCATCTGTCCTGGTCCATAGGAAGGCCATAGCCGGGACACACTTCAATTTCCGAGTGCCCAGGCCTGGTGGGTCCAATTGCTCCTCCAGAAATCCTTTGGCTAGACCAGGCCCATATCTGTACCACCATGCTTTCTGCCTGCTCCCACTATACCCAACTTAACTGAATGGCCTGGACATCTTCTTAATTTGTGCCAGTAAAATGACATTTCGGAGTGTTTATTAATTAAGTGAATCATCTTTTGGAAGCTATTAAGGCTGCATTTTTACCTTCTATCCAGGAAGGAGTTTTACCTATTTTCACCACGTCAAAAAATCTTCTCTGGGTTTTAGCTTTATTTAAGGAAAAAAAAAAAAAATCAGAGGCCAAGGGAGTTCCTCTTTACTTCTGACTAAGTTTGCGCGAAATGGTCTTTGCTCTAACTGGCAACTTCCTTCCTGATTGCCTCTATTCAGACCACACAAAATAATTTCAGCAAATGTGCTATGCATATTATGGTTCTGCATTCACATCAGAACTCTGGGGAACCATTTATTAATACCACTAAGTACATTTTCTCCTAACTTGCCTCCTCAATTGGAATCCTGCTTTGTCTAAGATGGCTAGTCTCTGCATTAAACTAAATTTTATTCCTTCCAGTTAAACCACCTCCCCTACAGGGAAGGAAGAAAAGAAAATAAAGATTTATTGTTTAATTTTATTAAAGAAAGCTGACCGCATGAAAATCAATAGAGAGTTTAGTTGGGGGGACTCTAGATAATTACTTTATCATCCACCATCTCCTTCAATATTTGGGAAGCGTGGACTTCCCTATGCCAGGATTGAGGAAGATGGGATTCTATACATCCCATTTGAAACACCTAATTTCTATGCTTTTGGTAAGTGGTAGCCAAACTTTACATGATCACAGGCGATTTTTCAAAAGAAATTATAGCGAGGATAATTCCTTACCCGGCAGTCTCTCTGGAGTGTTTTCATGAGTGCATTGTAGGTTTCTGTATCAAAATACAACCCTTCATGCATGTCTTGGAGGAAATCTAAGTCCTTAAACGTGGGGTTGGATTTCTCCCTCTCCTTTCGGGATGCTCTTCGCTTATAGGTGGAGCCTTTCAAGTCATACGTGAAGTGCATTCGCATGGAGCGCGGCAGGACGTTGTTCATCACCACAATCCTGATGTTGATGCCCCCTGACTGCATGCAATACAGGCCATAAAATTTGGGCAAAAGAGTCCTGGGATTCTGGTTTAAATTCTAGAAACAAACAAACAAACAAAAAAAGAAAAAAGAAATTTATAACCTCTTACTTTACAAAATAATGCTCCACTAAGGTATGTTTTCATGCTAAAATGATAACTAAAAAATGGGACATGATTATCTTCATTAATATCCACTGCTAAAATTATGTTGTTTCTAATTTATTTCTCAAGTCTGCTTATTGGAATAGCAACTCTGCCATTTTAAACTCGGTAGTAAAAGTAGCCGAGTTGAATATGGACATAATGTCTCAAATTAGTGCCAACTAAATACAAGCAAAGAATCAGTGGGTGCTACAAGTGACTGTCCTCTCAAATAGCGAAAAAGAAAAGGATTAATTGCTGGAGTATATCGGATAAACATTTAAAATTTTAATAGTGCCGGCAAAACTGTCTTCCGAAATGGTGAGACCAAATTACAATTCTATTGTTTAAGATTATACATTTTCCACCACTCTTACTAGTTCTGAATATTATCAAACTTTAACATAATTATAAACATGATTTATGAAGATTGGCAGCTTGTTTAAAAACTGCACATCATTAGTTATTATAGAGAGTATTTTTGATGTACTTTTAGCCACCTCAGTGATAATTTTGTTATTAGTCTTTGCTCATTTTTCTGTGGGTCTTTGTCATTGTTGAAATCCTTGATATATTCTGAATTTTTGTAATTTTCCTCTTCTGTGTGGACCAAATGTTTTCTCTTACTGTGTTGTCTTTTTCTATTATTATAAAAAGAGGGACTCCATACTTATTTTTAGTGCACTTTAAAGATAGATAAAAATTAAAATAATTTACTAAAGGATATTCAATGAAGTCTCCTTGCTGATCCTGATTCTTCCTCCAAATCCCAGCATTTGAGGAAATTACTACTTTCACTATCTTTATACCATCCAAAATATTTTTTGTTTATGTTGTGCCTGTTATTTTTGGTATGGAGATGTTTTCTCATCTGATGTAGTCACTTTTACCTATTTGTTTCTTGTGCTTTTATAGCTTTTTGTTGAGCCAAGTTTTTTATATCCTAAGGTTACAAACTTGTATTTCTTTCCAAATTTTTAATAGTTTAAGTCATTACAATTGGTCTTCATATGGAATGAATTTTGTGTGAGTGTGAAAGATCTGACATGGGGAAGATACACTTTTCCCCAAGTAGAAAGCCATTCATTTAATAGTCTGGACTTTCCCAGTTGAATTTAAATCTCACTATGTCAATACAGTAAGTGGCAAAATATACAAGGGTCTATTTCTGGACACCTCATTTGAATCTGTTGGCCCATTTGTCTAGAACTGTAGTTATATCACATCTTTAAAAGCAGTCACAGCCTGATGGATTTTTGGCATATGTCATGGCAGATCCATAATTTTCCTCTCTTTCAAAAGTATTCTGTTCATTTTTATACCCTTTCCATCCCATTTGTAAAGTTTCTTAAAATGATAGTACTTGTAGAATTTCTCTTTCAAATGACTCAGCTTTGCCAAGTTCTGGGAAAAGTCCTACTGGGATTTTTGATTGGACTGAGTAGATTTACAAGTTGATTGTGGAGTAACAGAAATGTTTACCTGACTGAGCTCAGGAACAATATATATTTATTCATCACTGTAGATCTTTTTATATCCTTAAATAAAATTTTGTAGTTTTTCATCTTGTATATCTGTTTTGACAGGCTCCGGTATTTTTCTTATTATTAGAAAAATTCTCTCTGAACTGATAGGGTTTTTAACAATTTTTTATTTTTTATTGTATTGGGATTGAACTCAGGTCCTTGTGCTTGTGAGGCAGGAGGTGGAACCACTGAGATAAATCCCGTTCCTGAATGGATAGTTTTATTATTATGTAACATCGGTTACATTTACTATATCTTTTTACAAATCAGAATTATAGCATGTCTCCATTTATTTATAGCTTTATTTTTCTAGTAATGTTCACTTTAAATTGTCATCATGGGGGCAGGGATTTAGCTCAGTTCTTCTGGCACCTGCCTTGCAAGTGCAAGGACCTGAGTTCGATCCCCTGTACCAAAATAAATAAATAAATAAAAATAAATAAATAAACTGTCATCATAAACATGATCTCTTTTCCCCTATATAATCTTCAACTCTGTATCATCTATATAATAGAATACAATGGATTTTTATACAGAATTATCTTATATCCTACAAACCTGCTGAATGTACTACCTCTAGACATTTCTGGTTTAAGTTGAAGTACTGCTTATTTAAAATTGTCATTTATAGAAAACAGTGCTTACACTTACCTCTTGTTTCCATAACTTCTCAAAAAGTCATTTCCAGAATTTCTAGAAATGTATGAGAAAGGACTACTGGTGGAGGGCATCCTTATCTTTTCTAGAATTTCTAGAGTATAGCTCCTGTTTTTCCTCAAAGAGATTTTATGTGAAACCTTAGCGATAAATGTTTGATATGTGCATTTAATAATTTGCATATTATGTTAAAAATATTGTTGCCCACTTAAAGAGTTTTAATTAAGAGGAGAAGGTGTTGAATTTTGAGGGCTTGGGTTTCTCTTGAACATCTGTTTGGTTAACCACACGATGTTCACATTTTTTCTTAATGGAATAAATTATACTGCTCATTATACAAGATTGGGATAAAATCACTTGTTCAGCTACATTTTATATTTTTATTGAATTTTAATTAAATTGTAATTAGCCACATTTGGCTAATGGCTATTACATTAAATGATATATTTCCAAATAAAAGAGTATTATATCTAAGCTTCAGATTTACTCATTTTTGTAGGTTATTAAAGAGTGTGGTGAGTTACATCTCTTACATTATTTTAAAATGTGTGTATGTATAAGATACCTCTGAAAGCATATACAACAGATATTGGTAATACTTATCTCTACGAAAAAAGTTATAGGGCCGGGGATTTAGCTCAGTGGTTCTGCCACTTGCCTCGCAAGTGCAAGGTCCCAAGTTCGATCCCTGGTACCCCCCAAAAAAAATTTAAAAAAGAAATTATACTTGGTTGCAGTGTTTCCTATTTTCTGTTTCTCTAAAAACAACAACAAAAAAACTTATTCAGGATCAAAACCTTTTAAAATCTGCATACCATCCACTAAGATTTTTATTTAGATTTTTTATTTCCAGAATTCCACACTTGATCTTAGCCAAAAGGTCAAGAAGCGATAGATTTCTAGAATTCCAAATGACATGAAGTCACAGTACTTAATGTTGCTTCCAGGAGATTCTTGAATTAAATAATATTTTTTTCATATAAATAAGCTATGTGAAATCCTCTGATTTTGTTTTTTATTCTGATTGATTGAGACAACTGTCTCACTATGTAGTTCGTGCCAGCCTTGAACTCTCTATGTAGCTCTGGCTTGTCTTGACTTTACAATCCTTCTGCCTCAGCTTCCTGAGTTCTGGGATTACAGACAGCACCACCACATCTGCTTTCACTGATTTTGTTTGGAAACAGATGACAGTCATCAGAGCAAGTGAATGGCAGAACTAGGGATTTTGAAATCCAAATGTTCTTAGGTAGCCATTCTAATCAGAGAAAATTAACAGCTGTTATGAATGTACAATAAAACCAGAGGACTGAAAATGGTAGAAATATTTAGGAAAAGTGTTTATTCTTTTGAAAATTTAGACCAGATGTCTAATAACTTCATCTAGGTTAAGTTACCATTTCTTGATTTCTAAAACAGTACAAGAAAAGTGATTTTCATGTTTAACTATGGAACCCTAAATTCTGAAGCATAGCAGCTAAGTGTAGTAGCTAACACAGATCAGCTACTGTGTATAAGTGTAGGGGTTAAAAACATAGCCTCTGCTTTTGCAGTCCTAGCTGCGTGAATGACCCTGCCTTGTCGCTTAATTTACCTTTGTCTCATCTACAAAATGGTAATGCCTATATTACCGAAGGTTGCTGTGAGGTTTAAAGGAATGAATGATACAAAACATTTCAAGCCTTACATAGGAAGTCAATGAATGTTAACCATTTGCATTATGACTATATGCTGGGTGCAAAAAGCTTTGCAATGCACTGCTTCCTTCACCACCATAACTATACAAGATGGGCACCATTGCCCAGCTTCCAAAGACTGAGGGGACCAAGGTTCAGCAGCTACATCACAGCTACTCACGGCTGAGGTGGGACTGGAACCAGGACATGTTTATTCAACAATTCTGCTCTACTGTTCAGTTCTAGTTCACTTTTAAAAATTTGTTCAACAAATGTTATGGCATAATATAAAATCAAATGCTGAAGAGTCATTTAAAAACAGACAATCCCCAAAATAACTGTTGACGCAAGGAATGAAACCTAAAGCAGAAGCCTGTTATCCGCAGCTCCTCACCATGTAATAGCCTGGCAGCAGCTTCTGGAGGAACTCTGCTTCTTTATGCTGAACTGTTTTGATGATAAATTCATCATCACTGGTCACAAAAAACAAGGATCCACTGGCTCCAGGGTTGGACAGCTCTATTAGAGGTTCACTGCAGATGGAATACTAAAAGAGGAAATGAATAAACATTTTATTTAATAATGATAATAATAATAATCAGTAATATTGTGCAGTGTGAGGGATCAAATCCAGGGCCTTGCATAGGCCAGGTAAGCAATTTACTTGCACAGCCACCAGGTGAGTGGCTCTCTCACTGAGCCACACCCCTAGTCCTAAGCAAACATTTGAATACACTGAACTCTGCTGGGCATGGTGGCACACGCCTGTAATTTCAGTATTGGGAGGCTTATGAGGTCAAGAGAATCACGAGGTTACAGCCAGCCTAGGCTATGCAGTGCATTCGCGGCCAGCCTAATTACCTAATTCTTCTCAAAAAACACATACACACAAATATGCACACACACATGAGCACACACACACAGAGTTAATACTTAATGTATGTGATGCTTCTAAGGAGAACAATCATGGTATTATATATCTTGATCTACTTGAAACAGGAAGCTTTCTCTATGAGCTTTAAAAGGAGGCCCCAGGTATATGCTCTATAAGGAGTGTATAAGTCTCTATAAGGAGACTCTTGAGGAGATTTCTAAAGATTTAATTGATCTGTTTATTTTAATTAAACATGTTCTTCTCAACCCTGGTATTACATCACAGAATCATGAAAAATCTATCCAATAAGGCAATTAAAATAGTCATGGTCATGGTGCCAGATGTGGCAGTGCATGCATACAATTTCAGCACTCTGGGAGATTAAGATAGGAGGACTTCAAGTTCGAGCCCAGACTGGGCAATTTAGTGACTTAGCCAGATCTTGTCTCAAAAAAAAAAAAGGCTGGGAGTGCTTAGTATGAAGGCCCTGGGTTGCCAATAATAATAAAAAAATTCATGTAAACTAAGATGCTTTGTTTTCAGCAAGTGTACATAAAATAACAGCTGCCAGTATGATCCACGCAGTGTGTCCATCACTTGAACATCAACACCTATTCCCTTTTCACTACTGTCCCCGTGAATGTCATCTTCTCAAGCAGTTTCAGCAAGAAAGCGATTCCAGTATCTGTATCTCCAGTCCAGCTCTCACCCCAGGGCTCCAGACCTCTTCATCTTCCATTTTAACAGACACTTCTACTTGGTTAGACGACAGGCACTTCACAAATAAGTTCACAGTCAAGTTCAATTCAAAGCCATCAGTAGATGATACAGCAGCTTTGTGGTAATGAGGACAATTTATCTTTATCCTGGCAGATGCAGCTCTGGGCCAGGGTACAAGGCTGGCGGGTACAAGAAGGGCTGCACTCCAGTCCCCATTCCCTTCCCTAAGCCAGGCAGGAGTACGTGGCCAATGCACACCCTGTGCAGCTCTACGTGGTGATGCTAGTTCATCTTCCTCAGTCATCTTACACAATAGATGAGATGACAGAAACATTATGTGCCTTGTTCCCCAAGCCAAACACTTGGCTGTTATCCTTGACTCCCTGCATTGCTCCATCTTTCACATTTAAACTCTTGACTGCGCCTGCCTCCCTCATGCCATCCATTCTCTAGTACCCCAGGTTCAATGGTTTCATCACTTCATGCCTAGATTCCTGGTAAGCTCCTCCTCTCAACTGTACGTGCTGTCCCCTCCAGTGCCTGGCAACCAGGAATCTTTCCAAAATGCAAATCTAATGTTCTTTGGTGCTGTCCCAGCTTTTCCATTTTTTCCTTTTTGGTACTGGGGATTGAATCTAGGGCCTTCACACTGAGCTTACACCCCTAGTTCTTTTTCAAATATTTTTATTTTGGGACAGGGTCTCACTAAGTCGGTAAGTTGTGCAGACTGGGCTCCAACTTACTACTCCCGCCTCAGTCTCCAGAGTGCTGGGACTATAAGCTTGTGCCCCCACACCTAGCTTTCCCACAGTCCTTGAGGAAGTGTTGAAAGGACACATGACCCAGTCCTGCTCTATAGCCCTTCCTTCCCTCTTCACTCCTTCCTATACTTGAGCTCTAACAAGGGAGCACGTCCTCATTTCTTGGATGTGCTGTACGTTCTTCACTCCCAGGCATCCGCATTTTCCTTTGCCCAAGAGAATCTCCATTCCACCACTGCTCACTCTCACATCCAACCACGTAAAAAATATTTACCAAACATCTGCAACATCCCAGGCACTCATAAAACTTATATCCCAGTAGAAGGAGACAGCTGGCAAGCAAGTAAACAAATTCTACATCAGAATGTGGGAAGAAAGAAGAGGTAGGATATGTCATATACAGGAGCAAATTCCCTATGACTAGCATTATCATTATGTATATCTACAAGGTACCAATAAATGTTTTGCTTTAAAAAAGAATGTGGTAGCTGCTATGGTGAAGGACTGGGTTGCAGGATATTTACAGTAGAGGGGAGAGCTGGGCGTGATGGCACAAGCCTGTAATCCCAGCATTCAGGAGGCTGAAGCAAGAGGATCGCTGTGAGTTCGAGACCAGCCTGGGCTACATAGTGAGTTTCAGGTCAGTCTCAGCTACATAGTGAGACCCTGTCTCAAAAGCAAAAAAAAAAAAAAACAACAAAAAAAACCTATAATAGAGGGGAACTGGGGTATACCTCAGTGCCAGAGCTCGTGCTTTGCATGTGAAAGGCTTTGCGTTTCAATTCCAGCAAGTATAAATAAATAATTAATGAACCAAGGAATGAATACAGAATGTAATAGGGTGGTCACTAAAGTCTGGCTGGCAAGATAGCCTTTGAGCAGAGGCTAAAGAGAAAGGGCTGTAGACCATGGGATATTTTGGGAAGAGGCATTTTAAGGAGCAGGAAAAGCAAGTGCCAAGGATCAGAGAGCTGGCAGGTAAAAAGTAGATGAGTAGAGCTGAAAGGGATGAAAGCAGAGGTGTCCATGGGCCAACCATGGAGGTTGTTAAAGATATGGTTGGGGCTTTGGAGGGCTTGTGAAAATTTAAGTCCCTATCACACGAAAGTCTGTATGGAGGGAGAAGGAGAGGAGAGAAAGAGGAAGGAGAGAAAAACTAGGGAAAAAATGATTAAAAGGCAGTTTCTAGGTGTCACTTTTTACTTAATCTTCTTTGGCAGCATCATGGATGAGGGAAACAAAATTCTCCAAGAGAAAGAAGTAAGTACTATTCTTGCTGACTCCCTAAGCCACTACACTTGCTACCTTCCATCTTCCACTTCCCCCACTTTCCACAGGCCTTGCTTCTGGACACTCTCTTGCTGAGCAGCAGCAGGGCTTTTATGGATGAGTTGGAGATTAGTTAAGTTAGGAAGACCAAAATAGTCAACATACTGTGGACAAGATGCCGTAAAAGTCAAGAGCAAGCAGCCACGTGTACAGAGTGTCATGTGGAAGGGTGATTAGTGAAAAGGGCATGAGATTTGAAATCAACTGGTATTTGTAAAATCGTAGCTCTGCCAGTTGCTAATTATGTGACCCTCAGTATGTTGTAGGCTGGGTTTAAGATAAGTGCTTTTCAAAGCTCAGATAGAGTGAGCACTTAGTATAGCTGTTATTCTATTATTTATTACATGATCACATGCAGGGGAGAGAGGCACCCAGCCTGGCTTCCTGCACACACTGCCTGAGGTAGCGAGGGAGATGTTGAGCTTTTCACTGGCATTCCCATGGAGAGAAGAGTCCCCTCAAATACACTTAGACATCCTGAGAGAAACAAGAGAAAAGGAGGGTCTGTCACACAATCATGAACTCAAGAGCCTGGAAGATAAGAGTGTAGACCCCAAGCCATCATTAAAAGTGAAGGCAGACTCTGGTTTCTCTAGAAATTCTGACTCTTTGTTCCATGGCATTTAAATTTTGGGAACAGGACCTCGTTATGGGTAGGAGTAGATGTTAGGAAAGTACAAAATCAATAAAGGATGTCAAAAGTAGAGGCTTCATATGGAGAAATTACAGGACGATCCAAGAAAAACTGTCCAGAAAAAAAACTAGATTCTAACCTGGACCTTCCTCCTGATCAATCAGCTTCTACCATGAACTCAGACACATAATGAAGATGATTTTACTGATTACTTGCCAAATAATCCTTTATTGTGTAATTCTTTTGGTACTGGGGATCGAACTCAGGTCCTTATGCTTGTGAGGCAGATGGCAGCACCACTGAGCTAAATTCCTGGCCCCTTTATTGTGTAATTTAAACAACTATCAAAAGAATAACAGATAAATGGTTTTGATCTGTTCTGTTAATCTTTAGGGGGCTAATAATAACACATCAACATACAATCACCTGGGATTAGGGTACAGATCAGGACTCTGAACATTATGCTCTAGAGTTCTATGATTCCTCACTCTGCCACTTGGATACCACGTCCTCTTCTAAGCAACCTTTAAAATGCTGCCTTTGAAGAGCAAATAAAGAGGAGAGATGGGAACATTTTAATTAGCCACAATCAACAAGCTCCCATGTGTGCTCCTGGGTTGTATGCACCTTCCAGGCACTTTTCATTTGTGCAAGCTGTTCAAATGTATTCATTTTCTCGCTTCTATTTCCTGCAAGGCCTCCCTGCTCTACCCACTGGAAAGAAAGCAAAGTACATCCCAGCTGGGCTCTGCCAATGCAAATTAACAGTGTAAACTTGCGCCATGTGGTAGAGATAATTTTACCTGCTATTTCTTTCCCTGATAGTATAAAATATACACTTCACTCTCCTTCTTTGGCATACAAGTGAGCCTGAAAAGCCTCCTGTGAGTTGGATTTCTGAATAGTAGGCACAGAGTAGAGAAGGAAAGAACCAGCACCTTGTTGCCCAAGCAGGTATGGGAATGCCCCGGGGCCCCTGGGCCTGGCTGAGGAGGTGTTCATCTAGGAACAAATAAGGAAGAAGACACATTTGCACTGTTCCGTGTGCAGAGGTATTTTCACTGTGCTGTGGACAATCCAAATTACACACATTTCAACACGAAACCTGTAATCAGCAAGCACATGGAGTATTTTAATAACTCTAAGAACATAAGCAGAATAATTCAGGCTGAAATCTAGATATGACATCACAGAACTAAGTAGAAACACACATACATCACAGGGATCCAGTATCAAACCGCTCTACAGAGTTACCAAAGGCTAAACAATGGTCCCAACTCTCTCCTGTACTGGACTTTCACATATATGGCTTTGAACAGTTACAGTTTGACAGCTGCCAGGATGTACTTGAGATTTGCACCATATCTTTTATTTGCTCCCACACAGTGTTTCAAAAGTTGTCTTATTTCATTTTGTGCTTCTTTTTGGAAGGAAGTCTTTCAAAATGTGCTTTACTAGAGGTGCTCAATGTCTGAGTTAATCAGAAGGGACAATCCTAGCGTCACGTGCTAGGGAAAGGCTACTTAAAGACCGTACCTGTGAGGCCTGTGACTTAGTGGGTGGGGAGTGTGACTCCAGCTGGTGAGAGATTTTCAGGGCAATGAGGGAAGGATGAGGAGACTCTTGCTATAATCTGGGTTCTGCTCCCGCCAATGCAGGTAACCTTGGGCACCTCTCTTCAATGACTCGAGCCTCAGATTATATTCGAAACTCTCGAGAGTTATATCTGATTCTCCACAGCAGGTGAAGCAGGAAAAAGGACTCTTTCCTCATCTACCATAACCGAGATCATTAAGTGGTTAATCCAGGTAAAGTGGTTTGAAGGTGAGTTTCCAGAAGTTCCAAGACTTACTGGGGGACTGCCTCAGTCCTGGGCTGCGGGTGACCCCAGTGAAAAGGCAGGTGGCCATAGTTGCTGGGGAACCAGCAGATATATTTAGATACCACTGTTGCCATTTTTGGTTTCTTGCTGGCCTCAGAGAAGTAGACAGTCATTTATGTGTAAGGCGAATGACATAGAAAAATGGAACTGAACAAAATCATACTTACCTGCCTGGCTCTATCTCCTCCCTTCTTTTTTAGTATGGAAAATTTCAAACACATGTGGGTATATAATTAATATCCAAGGGTCTGTTTCCAGCTTCACCAATCATCAACTCATGATTAATGTTTTTCCTTCCATACCTCTAATTACTCTTCTGCCTGCTTCCCTCAGATTCTTTTCTTTCTTTTGCCTTCAATTTAATTTTTTATAGCAGTGCTACTGAGCTAAGTCACATATCATACAATTCATCTTTTTATAGTGTAAAGTACTGTCGATTAATTTTTAATTAAAACATTTTTTAACTGACAAAAACTATCCTTATGGTGGAAAACATAAAGTTTATATGTATTTAGTGGGATGGCTAAATCTAGCTAATTAATATATCCTTTACCACTGTGTGTTTGTGTGTGGTGGGAAAATGTAAAATCTATGCTTTTAGTTACTTTCAAACATAACACAATATAATTGGTCATAGTCATCACCCAGGTCTCCTAACTGAAATTTTATACCCTTTGGCTAACATCTAAATTTCTTTGGAGTAAATTTCAGACATCAAATAATTTTCTCTATAGATATTTCAGTGTATTCTTCTAAAAGACAAAGACTCTCCTTTGGAAAAATAGAACAATATTATCATATCAAAAAAATTTTCAACATCATCAAATATTTTCATAGTCTATGAATTTCCTATAGTTTAGGATCTAGTTTATTTGAACTGTCTGGCTCTATTAACATTTGAGATCAAAACTCTCCTCTGGCGTTAACTAGTCCACTTGAAGTCCTAAACAGCTAGTGCATTTATATCCCTGCTCTCACAGTCACCAATACCCTTGTCCTCAACACAGAAATGCCTGTTATTTCTCTTCTAATTAAATGCCCTATAAGTTTTTTCCCCTGGAATCAGGGATTGAACTCAGGACCTTATGCTTGCCAGGCAGGTATGGCACCACTGAGCTAAATCCTTGGCCCATGGCCCTGTAATTTTTAAAATAGTTAAAACCATACAACACCTAAAGAGACCTCTGAATCACGATTTCCACAGAGAAAGATCACCTTTTTCTCTGAAATCTGGAACATTTGATGTTTTATTTCCATCTTTTTACTTATTGCCTGATACAGTTCATTGTTTTTCCATATAAGTAAATTATCCTCCCAATATGACTCTAATTTCTTTGAGTATTTTGATTTATCATTTTTTAATTTCCCTGTAGTTGAACACAAAGTATTCTGGACATAGGAGGTGTTCAAAGTACTGAATAATTTCAAAATGTATGTTTTGCCAGCTATAGGGATAAAGATTTTAGCTCTGAGAAATCATTAGCTTTCCTGTGCTCTTTTATAACACTCCAACTCCATTATGGAAATAATCTTTTTGGTTTAAAGACTCATTAGGAAACTCATGTCAGCTGTGTAATAAATTGTTCAGCAAAAGACTTTCCCCAAAGAAAGCAGCTCTGTGAGCTCAGAAGGAGTGAAAGAATGAAGTCCTCAGCCTGTGGGGCAACGGATATGGCAGAATGTTCACAAGCAATCACTTTGTCACGGCGACTGGATCAGCGCTACAGCACATACATCTGCAGGTGTCTCTGGCTGGTAAGAAGTTTTACAGGCAATTCAGAAGGAGAACCGATTAATTCCTAGGGTGTCGCACAAGATGAGTGATCAAAATCCCACTAGGTTTCCCAATGCGTTTGCTGATTTTAGGGACTCTCAGTAATGACTGAGTGCCCAGAAACCAAAAAAATATTTTTTTCTCTTTTTTGATTTTTTTAAGACAGTGTATTGCTATATAGCTCAGGCTGGCCTTGAGCTCACTATGTAGCCCAGGCTGGGCTTGAGCTCATAGTGATCCTCCTGTCTCAGCCTCCTTAGTGCTGGGACTTCAGGTGTGAGCCAGTATGTCTGGCAAACCAAAGGATCTTGCTGGTTACATATGAACACTTGTGAACTTGGGTTGGTAGTGACAGGTAGAGGCATCTGATACTCAGCTAAGGTGGATGGTGTGGCAGAGTACAGCATGCACATATCTAAGGTGTGGTTAACAGTTATGATAGACTGCATGAATTAAAAATTATTACAGTAAAAGACATTGCCATTAATCATCCCCAAAATTCTCCCCCTTGCTTCAAACATACTTTTCCTATTGTAGTTGACACTTTCTGAAGCCGTTCTGGAACTTTTCTTTCATTAGTGTCTCTAATTGCACTGATGTGGCTGCTGTGATGTCCTGACTTGATTAAAAACCTTCACCTTTTACAGTCATTTTGACTTTGGGAAAGAGCCAGAAGTCACATAATGCCAGATGTGGTGAACAAGGTGGATGAGGGACACCACAATGTTATTATGAACAGGCCTTTCCACTGGATGGTACCCAGCAGCATCACTCATCATACTTCTGATTATACCTTGTAAAGATACAAGAGAGAACTTCCTCAGCTGCTTGAGAAAGCGGCAAGAAGGATGGGATAAACATGTTTGAAGCAATGGGAGTATTCTGAGGGCGATTAATGGCAGTGTTTCTTTTACTGTACACATTTTCCCCCCAGTACTGGAGACTGAACTCAGGACCTTGCGCTGGAGAGGCAGGCACCACTGAACTACAACCCTGGCCCAAGCATTTTATTTTTGGATCAGCCCTTGTACATTTCGGGACAGCAGGATGAACCTCCCAGTCTGTGGGGCAACAAACATAGCAGACTGAGACCTAGCAATCCCTCCAGTACAAGACTGGTCAGTGCTACAAAAGCAAATCTATGGGTCTCTGCGGCTGGTGAGAAGTTCAAGGACAACTGAGAAGGAGAATCCATTTATTTCTAGAATGTGGGAGAAGATGAGAGATCCTGAGTCGGCTATGTCCATCGCGCCAAAGGCTGGGACATCCATTCTTTCGCTGACTCTGACCTTACAGAAGTGCTTTCTTTGGGGAATGGCCCTTTTCCAAACAACTTCACACACCTGACATGAGTTTCCTAATGAGTCTTTAAGTCAGTCTAAGCAGTCCTCAATGTTCTACAGAGACTTAGTCATTTGCCTTGAGAAGCCAGCGTTATCTCATTGGTCAGAAATCATAATTTTCTCAGGGACCAGCTAAAGAAGATCATTCATGGGTTTTCATCTGCACAGAATGGAAACTGGCTTTGAATTTCATCATAATCATCCACATTATAAGAAATATTTTAAATGTTTTTTGTTTTAAGTGACAGATATTGCTATACTTTCTCTGAAAAGCGTTATTAAAGGATCTGGCTAAAGTCTTACTTAAGATCATTCAGAATGGTACTGACAATAAATATGTGATGGCATCTTTCCCATGGTTTCTCGAATACCAATTTTGAAGAGCCCCAGGGTGTTAACAGTGATCATTTCCCTCTTACAAAAGAAAGGAGTGTTGAAAGTTACAACAGAAAGGAATTCAAGCTCCTTGGAAGGAATGGGGTAAAGCTCCAGAGGTCACATCGGAGCTCACAAATGGGCTGTTGTGTTGTGTTTGTACTCCCTGAGTGTGTTCCAGAAGGAAGACAGAGAAGAGAAACACCTGAGGGTAAAAATGTGCCCTTGTATCTGTAAAAATATATTTTAAAAGAGCCTGCATCCAGCTTGTTTAGAATTTTATTTGAAATTTTAGATCAAGGTGAAAATGGTTATGGGACCAAGTCAGGTCTGAGATGAATGGTATAAATAAAGTAACTAAAATAGAAAGACTTTCAAATGGGATGTAATCAGGAAAATTCACAGGAGTCTAAAAAAACTAATTATACCTGTTAGAATAATTATTTGAAGGAGCAACCAATATCACAGTTACTTAAATATAAATTACCATTGCAGACTTTATAACTATCAGTTGAAGCTGCAGAGTTAAATCATATTTCCTGAAGCTAAATTTGTAATCATTATAGAACTTGGAACTTTTACTATGATCTTGAGCTTTATAAAATAAGCACAAATACTTGTCACTGTTGCTATGAGACAAATGTTTACATCACACATTTCTTTAGAAGGAAGGAAAATTATAGGTTCTTACCAAGTAATCATCAGGCTTGATACCAAAAAGTTCTCTGAAGTATCGGAATGCTAGTGGAGCATATGTCTTAAATCTGAAGTCTGGGTAGTGATGTGCTGGGGTCAGATTGCTCCCTTCACTGCAGTTAAAATATTAAAAAGGAGGCAGGAAGAAAGAACATTAGCAAAACAGTTTTTACTTCAATTCTAGTCCTGTTAGTCCTGGGACAATTTCACTTCCAGGAAAACAGCCTCTGCTAGGTGGTTCTTTCAAGGTTCAGGTCACAAAGGTCAGTGCCAAAGGTGAAGACAAATACAGTACTGACTTGGTAAGGTCACTCCACGAAGGCACTCCCTAAAAATGCTTTATCCTCCCAGTTTCCCCTTCCCAGAAAAACCAATCCACTCTCCATGTGAAACCACATTGTAATGATTTAATAAGATCCAAGGCTAATATATAAAGTATTTTCAAAAATGTATTTTTAGTATGAATACTGATATTGAATAAACATTTATAACCAGGAATATGTGAAAAATCCTTAAAATATCCTACCAACCAGCGAGAACCATCCCATTAGAGATAGGATCTTAATCTGAACTCTTTCTTAGACACAGGTTTTCAAAAAAAAAAAAAAAAAAGAACCACATATTTAGGGATTTGAAAACTCAATTTCCATTTTAACTATGTTGCATTTTGTCTTTTCTTGGGTTCATTTTTGAAAATTTTTCTATAATAATTTATGGTATATAAGAGACATAAAAGGCTAATCAAAGAATATCCATGAACCTAAAATGCTGCTTAAGAAATAAAACATCATCCATATAGGTGCATCCCTTTCTGTACTTTTAACTGATTATATCCTGAGGAGCATTCACTGCTCTGAATTTTGATGTTTATCAATCTAATTCTTTTTATTCTTCAAATCTATAGAATATTACATTTTTACATGACCTTGCACAAACTACTTGTGTTACTGAGGAAAACCTAAATAAAGCCTCTGGCTTTACTTTCAGTTGATTTCAAAAAGCACTAATTTTGAAGGTCATGTAGCTGAGCAATATATTAGTAACTTCCCTCACTGGTTTTGCAACAGGTGACATCACTGAAGCCATTTAACAGGTTAAAACTTTTTCTGTGAAAGTTGCGATTCACTATCTCAGATGGTGATAGTTGCCTTTTACTACCTCCCTTTGTTTTCTGATGAAAGGTACCTTTTGCATCCTAATGATTAACTGCAAGGTCAACTATTGCTGAGAAAAGGACCGGAAAGATGTGGGCATAAAACTTTAAAATCAATAACTTTTCTTTAGATTTACGGTACCCAGCACATCTGGAGACTTATAAATAGTAGCACCACATGGGCCAGAAAGCAGATAGATCACTTGATGTTATTTTTTTCCCCAGCACTGGGGACTGAACTCAGAAGTTTGAGCTTGCCAGGCAGGTGTGACACCAATGAGCTACATCCCGGCCCACTAAAGTAAATCACTTGAAATCTGTGACTACTCTGGTACCCACCTGTCTGAGGTGCCTCCCCAAACACTGTATATGTAGAAGCCTTGCACCTACAACCCTGAGGCAAGATGCTCCTTGTTGACAATAACCTCTATCTTCTTTTGTTTGTTACATTTCCGAAACTTTTTCTCTGCCCAAACAACTTATCCTTGAGTTACTAGCCTTTTCAAGAAACAACATGAGTATGGTAACACTTAAGATACTCTTTATTAAAATTTTCATTGTGAAAAATTCTAACAATTAAATAAAATGCAATTTTATGTAAAAATTCAAGGTCCCTTTGTACTACATTTCAGGTGAGATACTGAAGTTCTATGCAAATTTATCATGGTCTGTTTTTTGGGAACACCACAAAAATAAGACTCTGCAAACACAAAAGGCATTGAGCATACAACAGACACTTGGAATCTACAATTTAAATTTGTTGCGATCAATCAGATTTTGGCTTCAGTGCTTGGCACACAGAAGACAATAAGTATCTGCCCAGTGAAAGAATGAGTTTACAGGATAATGCTAATAAAATATAGTTGATTGTGACAAGGAGATTCACAAGTCAACATACATGGCAAAACTTCAGCATAGTAAACAATCACTATTGAAAACTATTTTGAAATTATCTATTTTAAACAGCCAGTGCAGCCAACTCTTCTCCCTGCAAGGTCCCAGGAGGCTGTTACTTTTGGTGAGGACCAGAGGATGGGGCTGGCTTGTGTAGTTAAGGACCTGTCATGCAGTAAGTGCTTAACTCTCTAGCCTCCTCTGTGCTGGTGATCAGCACAGAGGGACTCAGCCTACTAGGTGAGTGTTCTGACAACTAAGTTACACCTCTCCCCATCCTTACACATTTGTCTTTAAAGGATAGGATTACCAAAGAAGTACAAAATACTACAAACATTTAGAGAAAAGAAACAAATTACATGCAAAGGAAAGCCCATCAGAATCACAACAGACTTTTCAACACAAACTCTCAAGTCAAGGAAAGCCTAGAATGAGGTATTTCAAGCTTTAAAAGAAAACAACCTCCAACCTAGGCTGATGTATCCTGTAAAACTATCTTTCAAAATTGATGGAGAAGTAAGATACTTTCATGACAAAGAACACCTGAGAAACCTCATGAATACCAAGCCAGTATGCCAAACAATTTTAAAAAATATCCTAGAAAAAGACAATGAAGGTCTCAACTCCATGACGCCCAACAGAGCAAATCCAATAGGCAAGAATTTAAGAGAGAGGGAGAAAAATAAAAAAGAACCAGCAACAGGAAAATAACATGACAACAATAAGTCAATACATATCAGTTATAGCCATTAATGTCAATGGCCTCAATTCACCCATCAAAAGAAATAGACTGGCAGAATGGATTAAGAAGCAAAATCCAACAATATGCTGTATACAAGAAACACACCTACTTTAAAAATAAAAAACTCACAGGCTGAAAGTAAAAGGATGGAAAACAGTACTCCATGTGTGACAGAAACCCAGAAAAAAGCAGAGGTAGCTATCTTATCTGCAGACAAAGCAAATTTCAAACAAAACTAATTAAAAGAGATTACATGTGGACGTAGGCACCAGCCCACATACATCAGCACAGAATCTTCTCCCTGAGTGCTCAGTCAGGGCTGAACCACTAGGCAGTTAGATGTGGTGACTGCTATGAATGCCAGCCCGCTCTTCTGCAAGCTTGCTGAGCCTGAGCCTGGTGCTACCCATCAGGACCTGGGCTCAGTATCCAGATCTACTGAGCAAAAATGAAATCTGAACAAGAGCAGACTTTCTTGCAGTTTAAGATTCACCTTGTGCTTTTTCAATGCATTTATGCAGTGTGAGAAAACAAATAAGTAACCCACCCTCCTGTCCTGGCAAGAAGGAGGCTTTGGAAATTTCAGCTGCACAGGATTGCACAGTGAGTCTAGAGGTTTGGTTCCTGTGGGCCTGTACAATTTCAAAAATGAAAGTTAGAAGCCAACACTGGTTTTCTAACTTTATTTTGACAACCAAGAATATAGACAACTAATCAAACACATAGTAATATGCCAATGAGTTCATAAAAGGGTATTTTACCTCCAAAAAAAGAATATAAAAGTTTGAAATAAAGCAGTATTTTCTACATTATATCCTTCTCCCTTTCACCAAGAAGCAGGTAGAGTTTGATCATGGACAAGCGCTGGCATCCTGATGTTTACCTGTTTGAATGCAGTTTAATGGCAAATAGCTGCTTAGAATTGCACAATGTTGAAGCTTAAGGAAGCATTAGCCACCATTTGGAATTCAGCATGTAGCAGAAAAGGAATTCAAAGTCCAGAGAAGTAAAATAATGGTCCATACTAGTCAGAAACAAAGAAAATGGAGCGATCAGACACATCAGAACAGTAGAAGTCCCAAGCAGGCCTAAACTTAGACTTGTCACACCTCTGTCTTTTCAGGTTTCAGTTACAGCTTTCAGCAGACTCTCTACCCAAATATCCCAATTATATCTCCATGAGGTCCTTATATAATGGGCAGCTAAGTTAGGTAAATATTAATAGGCAGTCAGACAGGGTTAGACCCTTGAGCAAGTCAGTGCAGAAGATGAGAATACATCACAGCTGTGGCTGGAGGCACATCTGCTGGAGGCCAGGCCTGAAGATAAAGATGCAATGACCAGGCCTACGCGCCTCCCCAAGGGATAAACAATAACTTGAGATTGTACTGTGATTGCTATTACCTGTTTCAAGAAGTCCAGATAGACATCAGTTACCCAGGTGAGTTAGCAGAACATCTAGAACCACCCCTTTCCACAAATGCCTTTGCTCTTTCCATACTACATGACCTGTTTCCCTACTGTACCAATATTAGTTAAGCAGCTACACTTTCAATCCTATAGGTTGATAACAGTTGGGCCTATGATGTTTCCACATTTGTGACTTTGCTATATAAATTACCCCTGACAAAGGATCTCAGCAGAACCCACATCTGGAACTCCTCCTGTCTCTTAGGAGTTCTCAATAAACCTTTCTTACTCTTAACCTTTTTTGTCCTTTGAAATTCATTCTTCAATTTCAGGGGACACAAACTTGGCACATCTGACATCTAGCAGGTTGGGAGTTATATTTCTCCTCTATTACTTACAACACAGAGTCATGTGGGTAGAATTTCACTTACAGAAGCTTTGATTATCCACATGGGTGGTGTTCTCATCCATATGTACTGTGAACCCCACAGCTTTGTTTATGTGATTTTGGAGCCTGATAGTCAAGTACTATTTCTGGTGGCACTAGACTGAGAGATCTGGTGGTAAACAATGAAGTGAAACTAATTTAGCAACTTGAAGACATGTACAATGTGTAGAAACTCAAATACAGTTTTGGAGCTGAAACCAGGGCTTTGCTGTTTACAGGGCAGCATTTTCTATGTGGTGATCTTTTATTCAAATTGTAACCATCAGTTGTAGGGTTGGGCTTTTATAATGGGCCAGCAAATCCTGGGTGATCGCAATGGGTTTTACTAAAGGATGTTAAATAGTTTCATTAAATGATGCTAACTGCTCTCACTTTTGTTCAGCAAACATGACCAAATCCATGGTGAGGGAAATAGGTAAAGGGTACTTTTTCCTAATGTACAAATATTAGAATATGCTAAGTGGCA